CCTCCTCCTCCTCTTCTTCTTTTTTTTTTTTTTTTTTTGGTTTTTCAAGACAGGATTTCTCAATAGCTAAGGAACCAGTCCTGGAACTAGCTCTGTAGACCAGGTTGACCTTGAACTCACAGACATCTGCCTGCCTCTGCCTCCGGAGTGCTAGGATTAAAGGTGTGTCCCACCATTACCGTCACCAGCCCACCCCTTGCCAACTCAACACCCAAACACATCAGTTTAAAACACAGCTTTCCACCCATGGCCCTGAAAGTCTCCTATCATCCCATATATAAAGTCACAGAGTAAACAATCCCAGCCCAAAAGAGAGGAACAGGAGGCTAGGAAAGAAGCTGGAACCAAAGTAACATAAAACCCAGCAGGGAAAAGACAGCCGCTTAGGGCCTCTGGCATCATGGCTGGCATGAGCAGCCCCTGCCCTGCAACACTGTTGCTGCTCCAGCTGTGGCCTCTCTCCAGGGTTAGCTCCACTCAGTATCTGCAGCTTCCCTCAGCCAGCATCCTGCTTCTGGCATCTACAGTTGGGGATCCCCATTGCAACCTTCTCAGCTTCCATTCGAAGCCTTCCCAGGTGTTCTCCAAGCTGGGAATCTGATCCTGCTATTGATGGCCAGGCCTTGGTAGCTTTTCGGAACTTTCCTCACTTTGAAGTCTTGGATGTTGCCAAGACCGGCCCCATGCAAGTGATGTCAAAGTCGGCTGCTGGCTCATGGTGCCACCTGGCCCCTTGGACAACAGCCACAGCCCATTGCACCTCTGTTGCCGAACCTGGGAAAAGCCCTGCTTGATTGGGTTGTCTTGGTTCAGGCATTCTCTTTCTGACATTGTTTGCTTTCAAGTGCATTTTTACTGTTATACCCTGAAGCTTCCAATGGGGGGAGTATTGCTCTTAAGGCAATTTCCTGCTGCCCCAATTGCAAAGTGTGGGAGATGTGTCCTATATGACACTAATCTTTTCTACCGTTAGAGCTCTATGGCCACCCCTGCCTGGTCTGTGCTGTCTACACCTTCAGCTGCACCCATATTCCTTTCCTCGCCGAGCTACACATTTTCCACATATTTCTGCTCTCTCTCTCTCTCTCTCTCTCTCTCTCTCTCTCTCTCACACACACACACACACACACACACACACACACACACACACACACACGCTAAACCTAACTAAAAGCAGCGAGCAGCAGCCACGCCACAGCCTGAATGTTTTTACTGTCCCGGAACTGCCTCCTCCCAACAACTTAGTCCGTTTCCTGTAAACTTAGTCTCACTCCCATGTTCAGGACACAAGCAGAAAGCAGCCAGATTCTTTTCCAGAATGGAACATGCATGTCTTACAACCTGGTTCCTCGTGCAGCCCTTTTGCCCCCTAAAATGTCAAGAGCACCTTTTGATTGTCTACATTTTCAGCATCAGCCAGGTTTCCTAGATCCACAAGAGAATGGCCCGCAGAGCCCGCTGGGCTAAACTCACAGTGTTCTAGGGGTATGCTAGCCTGAAGCTGTAATCTCTTTCACATCCCCCAGGCTGAGTAGTTCCAAAGCCCCAGCAACCCCAGGGTCAGATTTATTGCAAGAATGACAAGTTTTCTTAGTACCAATTTCTGTATTAACTGCTTTCTTCATTAAAGAACAAAATATCAGACCAGAGTCTATTTAAGAGGAAAGAGGGTCATTTGGCTACAGTCTCCCGTCATGCAGGGAAGGCTGCTGGCTCACAGCTCCACAGAACAGGGAGCAGAGAGTGAGGAAGGCTGGCACAGCCTTTTCCACCCCCCTTTGTATTCAGTTTGGGGCCCAGTCCACAGATGATGCCAGCCACATTCAGGGTGGATCTTCCTCTCAGCTATTACTCCCAGGGAAGCCCTCACAGACATGCCCACGGCACTAACACCCTAGGAGCTTCTTAATCTACTCAGGTAGACAAGTCAACCGTTGCGATTCTCTTTAGGACAAGTGTCCCTGAATCTGAAAGCCCTTACAACTTCCAGGGATGGTTTGTGCGCAGAATTTCATCAGCGCAACCATACATATACACACGCTAAACTCGACTTTAAAAAGAGCGACTCCTCCCTAAGTACATGGAGCAATGAGAGCCACTGTAAATTCATGTTTCCCGGCTACGGGGAAGACGCAGCTGACTTAGGAGCGCACTTTAGCTGTCCATCACCTTAGCCACTCAGCCACCTCGTCCCACAAGAACATATTCTAACATTATCATGACTTTGTCATATTGGCTGCGTCATCGTTAACAATGGGGACCTCAAAATACAGAACTGTGGCAATTCCGTGGCCTTAGCAGAAGTGCCTGAAAAGGAGGCGGCCCCTGCACTGAACCACAGAGTATCCTCCAGGCTGATGGACGACATCTTCAGCCATTAGGGAAAGGCTGAAACGTCACCGATGCAGAGCCAAACTTGGGCTGCCTTAGCCTCTTCAGTTGCTGTTTACCGGAGCTGGAGAGATGACACAGCAGATAAAAGCACCGGCTGCTCTTCCAGCGGACCGTGGCTCAATTCCCTGCACCCATGTGCTCCCTCAACCATCTATAACTGCAGTTCCAGTGACTCCGTCGCCCTCGCTGGCCTCCGCGGCCATTGCCTGCACACGGTGCACACATAGGAAGGCAGAACACCCCGACACATCAAATACACAAAAATTAAAAACTAAGCAAAATCAGCCATTCTGTGCCCAGCTCTGTGTGTCACCTAACACCCTTGTGACTCTTGAGTAAATTCTTCTGGAATATATAGACAGACCCCGAGCGTCTACCAACCCAAAGGCTAAGGATGTTATCCGCTAGCCTCTCTGAGGCCCACGGTAGAAGTCCTCCAGCCTTGCTGCAACCTGCCAACCTGATGTCCCCACCAATGTATTTGAAAACTGTGTTGATTTATGGCTTTCTTTGTTTCGCTACTATAAATATTTTTAAAGACTTCAATAAATTCCTCGGTTAGAACACAGTATTTGGGGCAACCTGGGTCCGCGTTCCTGGGCCATGGCCTTCCACCTGCCACTGCAGACAGACTCACTGCACTTTCTGAGCAGGACGAGCGTGCATGGATTCTAGAAAGCCGTGCCCCAGAAGCAAGTTGGGGAAGAAATATTTTAAATAAATAAAGGCTTACACACTCTACATCACCGTCCACTGAGGGACGCCAAGGCAGGAACTCAAGCAGAGCAGGAACCCTGAGGCAGGAGCTGATGCAGAAGCCATGGCGGGGGGTGCTGTTCACTGGCTTGCTCCCCATGACTTGCTCAGCCTGCTTTCTTATAGAACCCAGGACCACCACACCTGGGGTAGCCCCATCCACAATGGGCAGGGCCCTCCCATGTCAATCACTAAGAAAATGCCCTGCAGACCTGCCTACAGCCAGATCTTATGGAGGCATTTTCCCTATTGGGGTTCCCTCCTCTCAGATGACTCCAGCTCCTGTCAAGTTGACAGAAACACAGCTCACGTCTTTCAGCGGTGTCAATCTGGCAGCAAACATCCAGCCAGGATGATAAACAGGCTTAGCAAGAAGCACAAGTGTCCACCTGGCTTCTGGGGCTACAGCAGAGAGAGCCTGCGGCCTGGCTGGAGGCAGTGCTCTCCCTGAAGGGAGTGTTTCTACGGTGCTGATGGCATCAGAGGCCCCCGGGTCCAGGGCAGTGTCTACTTTGCTGTCCTGGTCACCTGATGGATGTCCGGAGGAGCCACAGTTCCAAACACAGCTGTTCTCCTCAACCAAACTTTCCTCCAGACACGCACGCACCGTCAGACAAACCACTGCAGTATAAACCCCTCCGTAAGTGTCTCTCCTTGAACGTTTCCTCAGGAAAGGGCCTGACACTTGAATGTTGAGTGGACTAAGAGGATTTGGGAAGAAAACAATTTGAGACTCTCTGGGGATGAAGAAAATACCTGAGATGTGCTTCCCCAGCCTCGAGAACTCAGCACTGCCTTGTGGGTAAGCCTATCTCAGAGCTAAGCACAACAGAGAGGAGGAGGCACACGGTGAGTGTCCTGGGATACAGAAGAACCAACCAACCCCTCAGACGGGGAGGGTGGAGGTAACCTTGGCTAACGCTGACTCCCTCCCGGCCACTAGCCCACCCAGACGTCTTTAGAGGACATCATTCCACTCACCCCCACAACCTCCTGGAGGGATGTGTTGATGGGACTGGGGCTGATGCAGACAGTCAACGTAGCGCTCCCAAGATCACACAGCTGATTTGTTAATAAACTAGAGACGCGGTGTGGCCCCTGCTGGCCAACACCTAGGGTTCATGTGATTTTTACCACCCTAGACACAAACTCCCGGAGCAAAGAAATTCTTCCTGATGCAGAAAGAATCTGATCTGTGCTTCTCTTCTAGAACACGGGACAGCAGCAATGCCTGCACCCAGGGCTGCAACGCAGGCAGAAAGAACTAAATGACAGAAGGACTTGGTGCTGGGCATGGCCACCTGAGGGCTCAGTCATTATCTTAGCACCCAGACACGTCTTTAAAGGGGTCAGAGTGTAGCAGGCCTTACATTTGTTCAGGTTCGAAAGGTAAGATTCATGTTTTACCAGAAGGGCACAGTACCTTCTCTTCTGAAGAGACAGTCAGCTTGTCACTGGATATCAAGCTGCACACCTGGTCCAGACTTAAGCTCAGAAACTCTTCCCCCAGCATCACCTCCGGGAAATGCTGCTCTGCTCCAAGACAAGAAGTGAGGACAACATTAGACCACGCCCAAGGTCCGTGAGCGACGACGCCACAGCAGCCAGCGGGAGTAGAGGCTGGAGAAAGCTAGAAGATGGGGAGGAACAGAGAAAAAGACAGCATCCCGGCTGTGGCAGGGAACTGGACTTTTAACTCAGAAGTGAAGGCATGGATCGTCCTGTGTTATCCTGGACAACAGGCGAAAGTGGGGCAGAGCGATCAGAGTTTGTATTTCATCCACGCTCTGGAGACTGACAGCCTCGCAACAAAGCCTCACTGGGACCTGCTTACATAACGGAGCTCATTCACTGTCCGGGCACAGCGCAGTGCCCCCTGCAGCTCAGCCACTTAAAAGTGGTTCAGAGTCTCGGGGGGGTTCTCACAGGACATCAGCATTAGGAAGTCAGGAGGCAGCATGGCTCTTTCCAAACCTAGCCTGCTCTATCTAGTGAGTCTCTGTTTGACAGGGATGTCCAGTTTAGTGTTCACCCAGGTAACAAGCTGGCTGCACAAACACGGGGAACTGTCCATCGCAGCCAGCCTGCACAGCTGTTAAGAGAAGGACAATCTTGGAACAGCTAAAGCAAGACAAATTCCACAGGCCTGGGGTACACAGAAGAAGAGAACAAGAGATAGTTTTGGGCCGTCATCCAGAGCGCTATGTTCACTGAAACGCTACCCACTTCGGAAAGAAGGACCTAGGTGCAGGCCTGGCTTTGCCGTTTATGAGTTGTATTCTTGGGCCAACGGCATCGTTTCTGTAGGTTTCATGATAAGAGCCCATGTGGGAGTGTTGTGCCAGCGTTTCCCATGTCGGCTTACCCAGACGGCATTTTCCAGTTCAGGCAGCTCTGAGGCTCACGAGACCCTCCCGTTAGCCCTAGGTCTCCTTCCACTTCTGTTCCCTCACCGCCCCCTCACCCCGTTCCCCCAGACTGACAGTCTCTGGGATAACTCTTACAGGATGCACCCCCAGTTTCCCACTAGAGTTGCCCTGCCCAGTCTGGCAGATCTCTCAAATGAGATTTAGCATCCTCCAGCCCTAGAAGGCTTCTAAAAGACTGGTAAAGCTCTGTAATGCAAAAGAAAATTCGAGCATATTAAATCCCTCTCGCGTTTGTTGCCTGCTAAAGAGTAGAAAATGAACTTATTCGAATCATTAGTATTTCTAATGTGTGTGTGTGTGCTTTTGTGTATGTGTGCTTGTGTGTGTGTGTGTGTACCTGAATGTACGTATGTGTACCATATGTATGCAGAAGACCATAAAGGTCAGAAGAGGGCATTAGATCCCTGGGACTAGGTAGACTGTAAATCAGTTGTGAGCTGCCATGTGGGTGCTGACAATACACCCCAGGTCCTCCGCCAGAACAGTGAGTGCTCTTAACCACTGAGCTACCAAGCCCCTGCTCAAATCATTTCTTACAAAACTTATTTCTAATTTTAGATTGAGAAAATGTCAGGCCTAGCAAGCTCCTAGCGAATTCCTGCCTTCATCTGGTTACCCAAAGGTTAATATTTTATTCTTAGATAGGAATTTATGAACTTTTTCTTTTTTTCCTCCTGGGTAGAAGGTAGCGCTGATCAGCCTGATGACATCACTGTGGGTGTGACTACCTACCATGGCGCTCAGTGACGCTACCCAGGACAAACCTGGACATCAGACTCTTGGCGAAGGGGGCAGCTGTCGGTCTTGTTCCTCTGAGCCTTTGGCTCTTAGGTTTCAGGGAAGACTTACAAGCCCACACACCTGGCCTCTGGCCATCCAAGTTTAGCTCGGTTGCCAAAACATGACGGACGGAAAGCGAAAAGCGTGAAGAGGACAGGAGGTAAAGAAGCAAATGTGTGCTGAGAAGAACTCCCTGCGGAACCTGAGGCCAGAAGTACCTGGGCTTGGGGGCGGTTCCCACTGCGTGTTCTTCATGGCTGGGGAGACAAGCCAGAAGGCCCCGAGATCAATGATGGCAGAAAACAGCCCTGAGGACCGCTGTGGGTTGTCAGCCTAGGTCCCTCCCTGCTGCAGTGGGCTGCTTCTTACCCTCCGAAAGCCCCCTTAGAAGGCCATGTGCCACGTGGTGTCTGGTGGGGAGGGGCACCAAGGGGAGTGAGGAACAGTGGCTTCCCATCCCAGGCTGGGATTCAGGGACCCAGGAGAAACGCCAAGGATAAGAAAAAGCGTCCAGGATGATGGCTAAAACTGCTTGTGGCCACCCCTGAGCCCGAGAGGACTGGGACATGATGCCAACGCAAGGCCTTTATACTGGCTCTACAGAGAGTCTCAGGAGGCAGGTCAGCACAGACCTCTTCCCAAAACTGAAGGTGTTTATGCTCAAGATGAAACTGAATTCTCATGGAGCAAGAGATGCACTTGTGTTGACAGACCAGAGAGCAACACGTGATTCCTGGCAGCAAACCAAGAATGCTGGAGAGTTCCAGAGGAAAGTGATCCGTGCCCGCGGTAACAGCACCGCACCTCCCGCCAAGATTGGAAGCAACTTTCTTCTAAGGGCCACAGAGCCTGCGTGATGCTGCGCCCTTGAGGCCTTAAAATAAGAAGGGGGGAGAAATAAGTACACTTGAAAGGGGAAAGGGGAGGGGAGGGGAAAGGAGGGTATGAGGAGAAGGTGATATATATATATATATATATATATATATATATATATATATATAGAGAGAGAGAGAGAGAGAGAGAGAGAGAGTATGTGTGTGTGTGTGTAATTTAATTTTCTCCAAAGCCCTAACAAAGTGAATACCAATCTCTCCACATCAGAGACAGAAGGAACAGAAGAACAAAGCCTGTGTCTCCTACTCAAGTTCACACAACAGTAAACGTAAATCCAGACTTTGAAAGCAAGACTGTCTGATTACAGGAAAACACACTCTGGGAGTGCCTCGGCCTGGAGGCGGAGAACACTGGCTGCTCTTCCAGAAGGCCTGGTTCAGTTCCCAGCCCCGGCATGGCAGCTCACAACTGTTCGTAACTCCAGTTCCTGGGATCTGATGCCCTCTTCTGGCCCCCATGGGCACTGCTTTATCATATGACTTCTTTTCCACAGTGCGTGGTCTGGGGAACCCACGAGGGCAGCTGCAAATCTGCCTCATCGGAGCTAACGTCTCAGGACCCAGCCCTCTTGCTGTGTCTGCAGTTACGATCATGATCCCACCATGTCCTTTAGGATGGCTTAGGACTCTGGCTTGGAGCCACCACCCCAATGAGCTCCAAGCCCAGCCTTTTCTCTGAATGGGATAAAATTAACCAGACCTTTGCTCTGGTCCAACTGAGCTATGAGCTCAGGATAAAGGAACTCATAACCCATCTGTGACTTCTTTGACTTACAGAGGTGACGTGAACCCGCAAACTCCAGGACCCGTGAGGAAAGTCCATGAACTGAGCTACTGGGCACAGGCTCTGGGAATCCTGGCTGACACCAAAGGGCTTGAGCAGAATCAATGCGCTTGGCGGGGAAAGGAAACTTTAAAAGAGCTGCCAAGGTGCTCCCGACCCTGCCCACCCCACCCCATCCCGCTCAGTTCCTTATTGTCCTGTTTTTGAAGAGCAGAGGTCAGCTTTCCTGAGTCAGGATTTGATTTTTCAGCCCTGTTGCACCTCTGCTCCAAGGAAAAACCGAAGCTTCCACAGGGAAGCAACAGAGTCCACCCTGACCTCTTCCCAAAAGAGGCAGAGACTCACGAGCCCTCAGACTCCAAATATTCTTCCGCCTTCCCCATGGACGGTAGGAAATCTCCATGTAGTCTATGTTCCCTCCAAGTCATACATATATGCTCCTCTTACACTTTCAAGTGTACACACACATGTATACACACGTACACACACACACATACATACACACACACACTGCCATGGGTTCTTTAAAACTGCCCAGTCGTCTGTGCTATTGGGGCCTTGGGTCTGGGTCACACAAGTGTTCAGAACAGTAAAAGCCCCTGCCACCACCATCACCTTCTCCTCATACCACGTTGGGTGTAGCCAGTCACAAGAAGATCTCACTGGGCCAGGGATTCACTTTTTTAAGTGCTTTGCAAAACTTTTCTGTCCTTGATTTAATTACTTCATTCCACCAAATGACCTAATCAATCAAAACGAGGGGGACATTTCTCTTCATGAGCACATGAAATTCAATGGCTTTTCCATCTTGTGGCTGGAGGGGTTCAGCCCAGCTTTGGCAGGTTGATGTAAACAACATACCGAAAGAATTTTAATTGCCATTGCCTTAATGAGGCCCCATTAAAATCCCCTAAACAGCTCTGCTGATGGCCCAGGCACATGGCCCTCTAACTCCCAAACAACAAAGTCCTCATAACCCGGCCCTGACCTCTGAGGTTAAAGATTAAGCAGTCAGCCACAATTACCAGGGATAAGAAACAGGGTGTGCAAAACTCGACCATTTCCAGCCTCCAGCCAGCCACAAGGACTGGGGCGCTGTCAGCTGAGGGCAGAGATCTGAGCAGTCAACTTGTAAGTGTAGACCCGCTCTCCTCCCACGCAGAGCAAACACGACAGCATCGGGGCAAAAGTCACAGCACATCACCCTGCGAGTAAAACCGGACCCGGAGGAAGTAGGAAAGACTGCCCAGCTGCAAGAGCCGGGGTCGTTCCAAACAGGAAACCAGACAGACTGCTGAATAGAGGCAGTGCTTCCCAGCACGTGTGCGCACACACACACACACACACACGCACACACGCGCGCGCGCACACATGCACACGCATACACACACGCGTACGCACACACACGCGCGCACACACACACACATACGCACACACATAAACGGAGTTCTCCTATCACCTGAAAGGATGGAGACTAATCAGAAAGGAAGAGCTGGCTTTTTTCTTTTAAAAGGAGAAAAACTTGACTGTATCTATCTGTCCGTGTACATAGAATTGGAAATCCCTCACACAATAGACCAGCACTTACCGTGATACTCAGGGCACACGCACACTAGGCCAGCACCACTATACTAAGGCCCACACACA